AATGTCTCCAAAGTTCGGAATGCCTGTTACAAGATTATTGTCCTCTTTCTATACTAAGAGAGAAACTCTTCTAAACTGTAAAAAATAAAATACAAGGAATATTCGAAGGAATATTCCTAATGTCCCCTAATGGCCATACATTATTACAAAGTACGTCCAGTCTCTGGTTTGTCTCAGGGTCGTCTCCCTCGGGACGTCAATTTAAAGAGGCTAATCGTCGTACTCGTCGTCGGTTGCAGTCGGTCAAATTTGGACCCATACAGTTAGTCCCTCCGCTTGTCGGGGTCGCAACTGGGTGCGTCCTCGATGAGCGGACACCATGCGTTACTATGGAGCCGTTGAGACGTTACGAAGTGGCCAATGAGGGAAGGTCAGCGTGCTTAGCAAGGCACCAGGTAATATGCTTTATCGGGAAATGATGTCATCTTCACGTGCGTCATTATCACGCATGTTTTCGAGGCAGGAGTTGGTGGCTTGATGCTTCGATTTTAGTGCTACTTTGTGACTCTCCGCTTCGATTCTGGCGCCACCCAACCTTATAAATAGGTGAAGGGTTTGTTTTTTCGAAAGTTTATGGCCATTCAATTCTTGATAACCTCCTTCATTCTTCCAAGCTTGCCCTCATACCCTTCTGGTTTTTCTTACATTCTTCATTCAAAGCCTCTTTCTCCTTCTTCTGTTTGTATTGATACCTCTTTAAATGATATTATGCCAAGGTCCCGTCGTTCTCGTGAAGAGGTTCCTGAGGCCACCAATTGTCCACGGCACCCCCTTCTGGCGGTGAAAATACGATGGTGGAAGAGGGTGACAGCCTTCCTACGGTGGATGAGCTAATGCCGAGGCATCCCTTATCTCGTAGTGACTTCCTCAAAGATCCTCCTCCTACTCTGGACCTCGTATTCTCAAAGATGGAGCAAGTTCATATTGATGCTTTTCGTGTAAAGTATGGCATTCCAGCTCATGTAGTTATGGTTCCGGTGGGGAGAGATTTCGTAGATGTCCACAGACCTGGGTACTGCGCTTTCTATGAGTAACCTTTCATGATTGGCTATACTCTTCCTCTCTTCCCCTTAGCGGAAGAGTTCTGTAGGTTCTACCAAGTTTGTCCAGCACAACTTTCACCGTATACGCTCAAGATACCTCTGCTGCTGACCAAGTATGCAGAGTTGGTAGAGTGTAATGTTTCTATCCACCACCTTTTGCACATGTTCACGCTTAGCTTCCACAAGGGTACCATGGTGCATTTGAGGCTCCGTGGTACGAAAGGGCTGGTGGTCGGGACAGATGACCGGGCAATTCGCAAGTTTTGGCATAAGTACTTCTTTGTCAAAAGCGAACATGTCGTTTCTGACTCCGCCAAGTTCCCGGAGCGATGGAATGAGACCCGTAAGTGTCATTACTCGTTTTACTCTTCCTTCATCTATATTCGTTATAAAGTTCGTTCGCTTCCAGTTTGCAGCTATGGGACGTCCACCTCGCCCTATTGCGAATATCAAGGATTGGGTAGCCCGTCTGTTGCCTCATGCAGCAAAAACCCGAGATTGGCCTGCCTTCGTGAAGCATTACGGCCCTAAAGTCCCCTCTGGTAAATGTTTTCCTTACCACTTCGTTGGCAGTATGACCTTATTTATTAATACGACCCTTCGTGATGACAGGTCGAGGAGCTTCCAGGGTAGGGCGCCAGTCCCTGCGTTTCGATAGGCCGTTGCTGTCGTGTATACGCAATTTATTTTGAGTGAGTCTGTTCGAGGGGGTCATCCTCAACCTATTCAATTAGAAGGTCCCTCTCGAGTCGTGGTCGTGAGGGAAAAGGTTTCTTCGGTACCGGCCTCACACACTTTGAACGAATCCTCTAACGGAGACGAGCCGTTATCGAGAAAAAGGAGGAGGATGGAGCTTGGGAAGGGCATGGCCATGGACGTTGATAGAGGCATGGTGTCGCAATCTTGCAGATGGCTCCCGTGCCCGTATTTATGGCTGATGCCATTTTATCGGTGAGATCTTCCCAAGTGGAAGGAGTTACCCATGAGCCGGCTCAGTACGTTCTGATGAGGGTGGTACGTCGTCCAACGTCGGAGGCCATCGTGTTGAGGGTGACGATTAAGGTACAGATGTCGACCAAGAGGATGTCAATGAGTTCGTAGGCCGCCATACTCATGTGGAGGTCAGAACGGAAAAGTCTGATCGTCACATAGTCGTCCCAGGGGACTATAACTTGCTGCTGAACTGCGAGCAAATGGTATCTGCTCTAGCTCCTCTATGTGCTGCCCCTGAAAACGAGGTGCTTAGGGAGATGAGCAACGTGGAGTTGTCTCATAAGGTCGCCGGTATGGCCTTGCGGGTAGGTGCCTTTCTTTCTCTTTTCATCGTTGGGTTTGTGTTGTGATCATCATTATGTATTTTGTTTCTAACTTTTCCCCTTTTTACCAAACCCTCATCATGGAGATTGAGCAAGAGCGTAGGGGGAGGAGAAGGATGGCCCTTTATGAGAATATGTCGTCCACATATCATCAGTATCGTGCTAAGCATCGCGCGATGGCCGACATTTATCACCAGGACCCTGAGTTTTAGTTGTTTCGCGAGGGGATCAAACAACGAGAGGACCAACTAGAGTGTAAGATTGAAGAGTTGAGGGAGCGGGATGAGGAGCTCATGAAGACTGTCGCCCGTAACAGTGAGCTCAAGGCTTCCCTTAAGGTGAAGGATGATGAGCTTGAGTTGAGCAGGGGGTGATGGCCGAAAATGCCGACTTGCAGGCAAAGGTGGCCGGTTTGACCACTGAGTTGAGTGAGAAGGCGGTAGAGGTAGAGGGGCTTAAGGGCGAGCTGAGCGTCGGTACTGATAAGTTGGCGGCAACTATTTCTGGAACTGCATCTTTGGAGAGTGCCCTCCGCATTTGCAGGTCAGAGCTGGCTGAAGAGAAGGAGGCCTCTAGTTGTAAGGTTGTGGGGCTCGAAGGGCGTATCAAAGAACTGGAGGCGGAGCTGTTTGCGTTAAACAGACAAGTGGCCTCGCTAAGGGCAGAGGATGCAAGTCGACGTTCTCAGCCTTCTACGTTTCGTGCCTCAGCCGATCCGGTCGTGCCTTGTCATTTATATGAGTTGTGCGTCCATGCTGAGGCTTGTCTTGACATGTATAAGGCTTTTCATGCCGAGGGGAGGGCAACTGAGGTGGAGCTTCGAGCCGTGCACACCGAAGCTCGTGCAGCTCGTGAGGCATGCGGGTATGACCCCCTTACACCTGACGGGGATGACATCAACTCTGATGATGCGAACCATTTTGCTTCGGACTCGTGGTACGAAGATGCTTACCCCACCGGGGATGATGTGTAGTCTTTGTTTGTACTTGCTTTTGTTTTGGGTTTTTTGCAGGGGGCGTGCTTGAGCCCGTTTATAAAGACAAGTGTAAATAAAATTTTGATGCATTGTAAAATATATTTTGTCGATTTGCTCTTCTTTGCAATGTTTATGATATCTAGGATACCTGTCGAGCTTATTAAGTCGATTTAGATTTTGGGCGAAGATTCCTTTTTTTTTGTCGATAGCCTTGGCCATTGGGATGTTGCTTCGGACTGTCGTCAAAGTAGTATCCTGTCGTAGTTCGAACGAGGTCGAACTCATGTCTTANCTCGAACAAGGTCGAACTCATGTTTTTGTCGATGGCCTTGGCCATTGGGATGTTGCTTCGAACTGTCATCGAAGTAGGATCCCGTCGTAGTTCGAACGAGGTCGAACTCATGTTTTTGTCGATTCCCTTGGCCATTGGGATGTTGCTTCGAACTGTCGTCAAAGTAGGATCCCGTCGTAGTTCGAACGAGGTCGAACTCATGTCTTTGTCGATGGCTTTGGCCATTGGGATGTTGCTTCAAACTGTCGGCGAAGTAGGATCCCGTCGTAGTTCGAATGAGGTTGAACTCATGTTTTTGTCGATGGCCTTGGCCATTGGGATGTTGCTTCGAACTGTCGTCGAAGTAGGATCCCGTCGTAGTTCGAACGAGGTCGAACTCATGTTTTTGTCGATTCCCTTGGCCATTGGGATGTTGCTTCGAACTGTCGTCAAAGTAGGATCCCGTCGTAGTTCGAACGAGGTCGAAACTCATATTTTTGTCGATGGCCTTAACCATTAAGATGTTGCTTCGAACTGTCATCGAAGTAGGATCCCGTCGTAGTTCGAACGAGGTCGAACTCATATTTTTGTCGATGGCCTTGGCCATTGGGATATTTCTTCGAACTGTCGTCGAAGTAGGATCCCGTCGTAGTTCGAACGAGGTTGAACTCATATTTTTTTCGATTGCCTTGGCCATGGGATGTTGCTTCGAACTATCGTCGAAGTAGGATCCCGTCGTAGTTCGAACAAGGTCAAACTCATGTTTTTGTCGATGGCCTTTGCCATTGGGATGTTGCTTCAAACTGTCGTAGAAGTAGGATCCCGTCGTAGTTCAAACGAGGTCGAACTCATATTTTTGTCAATGGCCTTGGCCATTGGGATGTTGCTTCATGCAATGGAGGTTTGATTATATACTTGTAAGGATCACATGTCGACTAATGGAGACAATTATCTATATCCAGTCTCTTCATTACTTCGCTCCGGAGACCATGTCGACGGGTCGGGGTAATGAACAACACTTCGAACCTCGAGGCGTCTCCCTTGTCGCCTTATTAAAAACCTCCTCGTGAAAACCCAATTGGGACAAAACCCGTGTGAGGGAAAAGAGTACGACTTAGGTGAAGGCTTCTTTTAAAAGTGAAAGTATTTGAGATGGGCGACATTCCAGTTGTTTTGGAGTAGTTTTCCCTCCATTGTTTCTAACTGGAATGCTCCTTTGTTTGCTGCAGCTATGATTTTGTATGGTCCGTCCCAGTTTGTTCCCAGTTTTCCCTCATTAGGGTCTTTGGCTGCTTATGTTTTAGCCTTAAGGACATAATCTCCGACTTTGAGCGGTCGCACCTTGGCCCTCTTGTTGTAGTACCTTTCCACTTGTTGCTTCTGGGCAACCATTCTTATGTGGGCCATGTCTCTCCGTCTTCGACTTCATCCAGATCTTGTAGCCTACTTTTGTCGTTGCTTGGTCCGCTCTCGTTGGAGTATCTCAAACTGGGCTCTCTGACCTCGACTGGTATTACTGCGTCAGTCCCGTAAACCAGTGAATATGGCATCTCACCTGTGCTGGTTTTTGGCGTAGTGCGGTATGCCCATAGTACTTCCGGTAGTAGTTCAGGCCATAGCCCTTTAGCATCCTCAAGTTCTTTTTCAATATATTCAGTATTACTTTATTGGAGGATTCGGCTTGACCATTGCCGGCAGGGTGATATGGCGTGGAGAGTATTCGTTTGATGTGCCATTTTTTGAAAAACTCAGTCGTTCTCTTTCCGACGAACTGAGGTCCGTTGTCGCAACTGATTTCTTTGGGGTTGCCAAAACGGCATATTATGTTTTTCCATATGAACGCGATGACCTTTTGCTCACGTATTTGAGTGTATGCACCTATTTCTAACTATTTAGAAAAGTAATTAGTTAGAACCAAAAGGAAACGTACCTTACCTCGTCCTGCTAGGAGGGGGCCGACTATGTCCATTCGCCACTTTATGAATGGACATGGTGAAGTGACGGAATGAAGGAGTTTTCATGATTGATGTATCATAGGGGTGTACTTCTGACACTATTCACATCTCCTGACATAGTCTGCGACTTCTTTTTTCATGGTGGGCCAATAGCATCCGGCACGAATGAGGGCATGGTTTCCCGTATGGGCGCCACAGTGCCCTTCGTGTACTTCATCCAGTAATTGCCTTGTTTGATTTGGCCCAAGACATTTGGCTAGGGGGCCGCCGAACGTTCATTTGTAGAGATCACAGTTTACGAGGCTGTATCTGGCTGCCTGTACCCGAAGCTTTTTGGCTTCTTTTTTATCTTGCGGGAGTGTTCCATCCTGCAAATATTCTACGAGGCGGTTACGCCAGTCCAAAGTTAGGTTTACAGAATGTACCTCAACGTAGTCTATTGCAGAGTGGAGGAGGGTGACCACGTTTTCCCTGTTGATGTTTTTGGTGGTCACAGCTAGTTTGGTGAGGCCGTCTGCTTCGATATTCTACGCCTTGGGTATCTGGTCGAGGTGGCATTCATCGAATTCCGGCAGTAGTTTGTGAATTTCCGACTGGTACTTCTGTAAACTCTGTTCTTCGACTTGGAAAGTCCAGTGACTTGGTTCACCATGAGTTGGGAGTCGCAATAGAGGACAAGCCGTTGGTTGCTATATTTGAGGGCTAACTTCAAACCTGCAATCACGGCTTCATACTCAGCCTCATTGTTAGTCATCTCGGGGCATCGTATGGACTGGCAAATTACTTCGCTTGTAGGGACTTCGAGGACGAGTCCCAGTCCCGATCCCGAGGCATTAGAGGTGCCATCGGTGTAGAGGACCCAGAGGTCGGTATGCGTGAAAGTGTGGAGCGCTTGTTGTTCTACTTCAGGCAGTATTTCTGCGCTAAAATCAGTGGCAAAATCGGCGAGCACCTTCGACTTAATGGCAGTTCAAGGTTGGTATGTTATGTCGTGCTCGCTTAATTCTATGGCTCATTTGGCCAATCTACCCGATAGTTTGGGTTTGTGTAGGATCCCTCTTAGGGGGGAGGTTGTCACCACCTTTATGGGGTGACATTGAAAATATGGTCTAAGCTTTCGTGAAGCTGCCACTAATGCCGAAGCTAGCTTTTCAAGGTGAGGGTACCTTGTTTCGGCATCGATTAAGGTTTTGCTAATATAGTAAATCGGAGATTGTATACATTTGTTTTCACGAACCAAGATTGCGCTTACCGCAACTTCGGACACTACTAGATATACAAGTAGACATTCTCCCGGGTCCGCTTTCACGAGTAGTGGCGGCAAAGACAGATACGCTTTCAGTTTTCTTAGGGCGTCGACACATTCTTCATTACGTTGCAACCCGTGGTTTTTCCTTAGCACATTGAAGAATTTGTGACATCTATCCGAGGACCGTGAAATGACACTCGACAGGGCGGCTACTCATCCTGTCAATTTGTGCACCTGCTTTTTGCTGGTCAGTATCTCCGGTATTGCGTCGATGGCCCTGATCTGATCCGGATTGACCTCGATACCTCTTTATGACACTAGGAAACCAGGAACTTTCCCGAAGTTACGCCGAAGGCACATTTTTCGGGATTCAATTTCATTATGTATTGCCTTAATATCTCTAAGGCCTCCTTCAAATGGCCGATGTGGTCCTCTTTCTTTGTCGACTTTACTAGCATGTCGTCGATATAAACCTCCATGGTCTTGCCGAGCTGTTCTTTGAACATCTTGGTGACAAGTCTTTGATATGTGGCCCCTACGTTCTTGAGTTCAAATGGCATTACATTATAGCAGTATGTCCCTCGGTGAGTGATGAAAGTTGTCTTTTCTTGATCTTCTTCGACCATTAGAATTTGGTTATAACTAGAGTAGGCATCCAAGAAGCTCAACAGTTTGTGCCCCGCTGTCGCATCGATGAGCTGGTCGATGTGGGGCAATGGAAAGGAGTCCTTCAGGCATGCTTTGTTCAGATCGATGAAGTAAACACACATCCGCCATTTCCAGTTCTTCATTTTGACCGTGACCACATTGGCGACCCATTGGGGGTATTTTGACTCTCTAATGGAACCATTAGCGAGTAATTTATCAACCTCCTTGCTGACCGCCTCATTAATGGTGGCATTAAACTTTCTCCTTATTTGTCGTATCGGCGGATGAAGTGGATCGACATTTAGCCTGTGTGTGGCGATCTCCTTTGGGATTCCTGGCATATCTGAGTGGGAAAAGGCAAACAAATCGACGTTGTTAGTTAAAAACTAACGATATTTACCTGGTTTCGAGAGGTTGTGTCCAACATAAGCCTTTTTTGTGTTGTCGATATTGTCCAATTGGACGGGATCGAGATCTTCTACGATTGCCTTGCAAGCTTCTACGATGTCCGGGTCTTTGATGGTTTTTACTTGTACGTCGGATTTGGTTCCCGACATGGCTGATTGTTATGCCTCCGCACTTGCCCCTTTTAGTTATTTGGTGTGTGCGCAATCTTGGGCGATCCGGTAGCATTCTTGGGCGGTGTGTGGCTCGCCTCGGATGCTGAATATCCTCCATGAGGTGGGAAATTTGATTACTTGATAGAAACTTGACGGGACAGCTCGCATGGCGTGTATCCATGGACGTCCTATGATGGTGTTGTAGGCTGTTTCCTGATTCATGACGTGGAATATCGTTTCCAGGGTGACCCCTCCTGCCAGGATGAGTAGCAACATTTCTCCAAATGTTTGCTCCGCTACATTATTAAAACCCGTTAGTGTTATGCAACGAGGTATTATTTATCCTCAAGTCTCATTTGCACGAGAACTCATGGGTGAACAATACACGCGCCGCTTCCGCATCCACCATTATTCTTTTCACATCGGTATCTGCGATGCGTAAAGTTATAACCAAAGCATCATAGTGAGGGAAAGACAAACCGTCGGTATCCGACTTATCGAAGATGATACTATCTTCGAGGTCGTCATACCGTTCGTGGGCAACTGTCCGTTTGAGTTTATGTGTGGTGGGGAATTTCACATGGTTGATTACCGTATCATCGCCGCCGCCAATGATCATTTGTATGGTACGAGCTGGTGATGGTGGCTTTGGAGGTCCTTAAGGTTGGTCGTGCCCACGAGCGAAGTTGGATCGTCCTTTATCGCTCAGCAGTTCTTTCAAGTATCCCTGGTTTAACATCCTTACTACTTCTTGTCGCAGAGCTATGCAGTCTTTGGTCTTGTGTCCTCTCTCTTGGTGGAATTCACATAGGACGTTCGACCTATTGGTGCTCGGATCCGATTTCATCTTTTGCTGCCACTGCACCTTCGTGCCAAGGTTTTCCAATGCGTACACTATCTCTGAAGGGGAAACATAAAAGTTATGAGCAGATAGCAATGGAGGCATACCTTTTTCATTTCGGAAGGGTGCGGTGTGTCGAGGCATGACATCTGTGTGTCGTGGAGGAGGTAGATTAGGTGTTCGAATATAAGGCTAATGCCTTTCTCGATTGAAACGTGGCAGTTGATCCCTTCGCCCGTCGTTGCGTCGATCTCTCCTCGTCTCGGTCTAGACCGATGTTAATCGCTGAAGCGGGCCGTTCAGGTCATCCTCGTCTGTCCTCACTTCGGCGCAATAGGTGTTGTGGATTTCTTGCCACGTGGTAGGGGGTACTTCATGAGTCTACTGAGTAGTTTTTGGGTCCCTTTTGACCCGTTTCTGTTTAACCCATTTTGAAAGGCTGTTACCGTCATCCCTTCTGACACGTTCGGTAGGCTCATCCTTAATCTGTTGAATCGGTCTAGGAAATCCCGAAGTCCCTCACCCGTCATTTTCCTGGCACCGAAGATATCATTGACCCTAGCCTAGGCTTTTTTCGCTCCCGCGTGAGTGGTGGTGAACTTATTTGCCATCTCTTCAAACGTCGATATCGATCGTGCTGGTAGTTGGGAATACCATGTTAACGGTCCCCCCGTTAGAGTTTCGCCGAACTTTTTCAGCAGCATAGACGGTACCTGTTCTTTTGATAGGTCATTTCCTTTTACTGCGGTAACATAAGGATTATGTGATCTTCCGGGTCCGTGGTCCCATCGTATATTTTCAAATATGGCGGCATTTTGAAGGTATTTGGAATAGAATGGGGAGCTGCCCCTTCGCTGTATGACTGTTCGACGAATCGGCCCACATCGTATTTTGGTAACAACTTCGGAGCGCCTGGTATTTTATCAACCCTCTCCTGATGTTCCTTCATCTGGTCGTGGAGTGTTTTGTTCTCATTTTCCATCTCTTCCATTTTCTTTAAGATGACCGTGAGTGCATCATTGCCTGTATTAGCAAAAGTACGGGTGTTATCTGTTCGTGTAGCGTTTGGCTCATCAACAACAGCTACGGTTTCTGTGGGTAGCACGTCTTCGATACCTCCCTGAATGGGTTTCTCGAGCATGTTGCTCAAGGTACTCGTTAACCATTCTTCTAGTAGCCTCTTGACAGCCGGTGGCGCTTCTCCTGCTACGGATGTTGAGGTTTCCCTCTCACGCAAGATCATTAGATCCCCGTGCGGAGGAGGTGAGATCTCCCCCTCGAGTGTAACACTTGGCATTGCATTCTCATTGTCTTCTCCACTGGCTTCGTTGAGAGAATTTAGAAGGTTGTTTATGACACCCACTACTGCCTTTAGCCTCGCTTCTCCCTTTCCCGCCATCATTGGCTTTTATAAAGCTGAAGAAAAGTGATTATTACTTTCAAGAATCTAGATGAAAACTACGATTTCAACTAAAGAAATTCCCACATACGACGTCAAATTGTTTGACTCAAAAGATATTAAAACTTTCTTGAGCAAATCAATCAAAAATGAAGGAGTAAATCTTAGCTGAGAATAATAATCTCTAGAAGGAGTGATAGATAATGAGAGGATAGGTCACGAGGTTTCTTTTTATTCGTAAATAGTAATGTCTCCAAAGTTCGGAATGCTCGTTACAAGATTATTGTCCTCTTTTTATACTAAGAGAGAAACTTTTCTAAACTATAAAAGATAAAATACAAGCCCCTAATGGCCATACATTATTACAAAGGTCGTCCAGCCTCTGATTTATCTCAGGATCGTCTCCCTCGGAACGTCAATTTAAGGAGAATCCGTCAATCATCGTACTCGTAATCGGTCAAATTTGGACCCATACAACAAGTCTACCTAGGAGAGAATATAGGATGAGATTGAGACTTGACAATGACCTTCTAAGTAAAATTCATAACTAAAAGAATTGAAGGAAAAAATCACACAAGTCAAAATGGAAATTCAAAGTCATTGTGCTAGAATACTGTTGCAAATTTCATTATCCTAGAAAATTCTCACAACTTAAATTAGAGATTGAAAAAGACTCATGGTTCTGGAGCATTGCAAACCTTTCAGTGATAATGAAGCAGAACAAATACTTAGCCCCTTAGACTCCATGTAAGACTGAAAAGGGAATTTCTTCCGCATAAAAAAACCTTGGTTTAAGCAACAAAATCAATTCACAACACCTCACTTTAGTGTATGCACGAATCAAAAAGCAAGTTGCGGGTACCAATTATTGCGGTTTTGTCTCACAGTAACAAAGGCAGAACCTTTTAATTGTATACTACCGAGTATTAATAAAAGTGAATAGAAAATCACTAATATCAGCACAGAAACAAACCCAATTGCACATTGAAGATAACAAATATAAAACAGCTACCCCAATAATTTATTCCCAATTTGTCTTTTACTTGCAAAATAAATAAATTAATGAATAAGTATACAAAATGAATCTTACCTAGTGTAAAGGGAGATGAGATTTAAGTTAGCTTCAAAATATAAAGGCCTCAAGAAGCTCTCTATCGATGAATGAGAGCAAAGAAGTAAGGAGAAAATCAATGTATCAACGTAGAAGAAAGAGAGAGATAAAGAGAAAAAAACCTCTCAAAGGATCTGTTAGAGTTACCCAGAAGACATTTTTGGTTGGTAATCTTTTATGTCGACGGCAGCAACTATCTCGATCGGCTAGGGAAGCTTGTATCAAATTTTAGGCTTTTTCTTCTTTGTATCTTTGTCAGGACTTTTAGGTTTTATTTTTGTTTTTTCTTCGAGGCGCTTTGTCTCACTTCAAAGAAAAAGCGGCGCAATAAAGTTAGGAGAGGGAAAATAGGGAGGGAAAGCAAAACTGTCCCAATACCCCTTTTTTTTTTTTTTCAGGAACTGTTGCTAAAGATGCATCTATTGTAGCGGTTAAGGAAACCGTGGCGACACATAAATCTACCGCGATGGTTCTTGTCCTAATGCAACGGTTTATTCTATTAGCTATCTTAATAGGTCTAATAGGATAATGTGACAGTTGTAACCATTGTCATAGATATTTTATTGCAATGTTTGCGTAACCGTTGCTATATAACTGTTGTTATAGACCTATTTTCTAGTAGTGCCACCACGGTGGGCATACCATTCCTTTAGCCAATCATCTCCCTACCTAAGTGGGGTAGTCGTAAAATTGTAGTAGTTTTCATAAGTGTTTTCAAGTAGAACGCCCTGAGTAATTTGACGCAAGACGCAACACTCTTTTGGTGCCTTGTTCAGTTCACCCTTTAACATTGTAAAACAGGTGGTTCCTAGGATACAAGTGTTTTGGTGGTGAAAAGGTGTTACACGTGAAATATTGGAATGCTGACATGGCATGGCATGTGGGACAGTGATATAACGATGTGTGACTTTCTTAATTAATAGGGAAGAGAAGGCACGAGAAGAAATACCCACGAGACGGTGCTGGGCCTTACGGTTTTCTGTTATTTTTTTCAAACAAAAAGGTAAAATACGAAAAAAAATCAGAAACAAAGAATAAATGAGGATGAAATGAATAATAAAGAATAAAAAGAAGGAAAGATACATGAACCGGAAGTAAACAAGGAAGGGGAATCGAAACATATATGAGACAATAATAGCAATAAGTATGCTAGTTATAGATATCCGAAATAATGGGCAATCAATATTATTAATGCCCATAATCAAACCAAATTATATGGGAAAAATCGTTACTATTGTATATTCCTATATAAGGGCACATAATTCTATTTGTAAGGACAGATCTGAGACAATATTGAAATATACTCTTTACTTCTCTGCTTTCTCGAAATTCTTTACTTTGACTTTGCAATTTGTCTATCAATTATTTTCTTAGTTATTCAGTTATTTTCCTTTGATATCATTGTGAAAGTGAGGTAAAACTTGGTTATTCAGTAACCCATTCTCTTCTAAAATTATATTTTGATCAAAAGACTTATTTTTGGTTAAACAAATTAGTTCCATTACCGGGAATCTGATAATCTTTTCACTTTTCAAATTCACTTTTCTGACAAACAATCATGTCAACTGCCAACGATAATAACCAACTGAACCAATAGGAGGGAGGAACTCCACCAATCCCTTCACCACAAGAATCTCTTTGACAGTCCCGAGAGGGAACACCTCAAAGAAGAAGATCGGAAAAATGGGGAAGCCATTAGGTTGGGTCAGCTAAGTGGGTCGAAATAATATTCATTTTTGTTCCAGTCAGAGATTGCCACATGGCCCAGTAGAAAAATGACACGTCATTAAATGTAGGCCCACCAATTCTATCGTTAGTCGCGGGGGTAATTTTATTAATAGAATTAACGTCGTTAGTTTTTTGGACGGATAGATGGACGAAAGGTATTTATAAACCATTTAGCAAACGATAGGGGTAGTTTTGGCCCTTTTCCGTTCTATGAATCATGTTTGCACCTTGTGTTCTGCGTTCGCGAAGAGTACTTTGAGGGCAACATAATTTTTATTCTTCGCGATCGCGAGGGACTTTCCGCGATAGCGAAAAAGAGCATCTGGGCAGAATATAAGATTTCAAAAATGAGGGTTAGAATATTATTTCATATTTGGACTTTGGGGTAAGTGATTCTAACGCGGATTTGGTTAATATACATGAATCTATCATTGTTTTTACCATTCAATTAGTGTTTTAGGTTGGAAAATTTGGGAAAAATTATAAAAACTTTATAGGCTTTAATTTGAATGTTTGAAGGTCGAGTTGTGATCGGAATTGAGTAATTTTTGTATGATTGGACTCGTTGCTGAATGTGTATTCGAATTTTATTAATTTTGCCAGATTCTGAGACGTGGGCCTCGGGTTTACTTTTTGGGTTGACTTTTTAATTTTTGTTAAAGAACCTAGCTTTATCATATGGAATTGGTTTCTATAGCTTGTGTTGATTATACTAAGTTGTCTAGATTCAAGTCCTTCGGAGGCCAATTCACGAGGCAAGAGCTTGTTGAAGTAGGGATTTACGCAATTTTGAGGTAAGTAACACTTTTAAACTTGATTTTGAGGTTATGAATCCCTAAAATACATGTTATGCGGTTGGTGTTGAGGTGACACACATGCTAACTGATGGGCGTGTGGGGCATGCACCATAGTAATTGTGAATCGGTTGATTATGTGGAATTGTGTAGTCATCAAATCTTACTATTATTCATGTTTACTCCATGTGTTAGGGAAATTAAGTTGTGATTAATGTTAGAAATCATGTCTAGGCTATATGCTGGTACTATTGGGACACAAAAAGGTTGTTCTTTGTTGTTGAGTTATTTGCTTCTATTGAAGTTATGTACTCAGACGCATTCATCATTTGCATTTCATATCTTAGTCTCTATTATCATTTATTGTTACATCATTTATCATTATTTTGGGCTGATTGATATGAGTGTTGTGAGCCCGAGAGACTGGAGAGATTGATAACTGATTGAGGTCGAGGGCCTGATTGTGAGTAATATTAATGGGATCGAGCTGCACGTCGTAACAAGTTTTATTGATTCATAATGGGATCGGGCTGCACGCCGCAACAGGCATTATTGATTCATGATAGGATCGGGTTGCACGCCTTAGCAGGTATTATTGATTCATGATGGGATCGGGCTACGCGCCACTGCAGGTTTATTAGCGATTGGGCAGGATCCGCCCCTTTAGAATCTGATATACCAGTAGTGAGCGCAGGTACCGTATAGTGCTGAGTGATTAAGTATTATAAGTGAGAGTTGAGACAGTCAAATTGAGTACTCTGAGAGTGGGAGTACGTGAGGCCATCATTGCGATGCATACATGTTACATGCATATTGACATGTAGATATAGATATATAACCTTCCTCATATCATACTTGACATATTTTATCCGTCTTGAGCTTAAACTATTAACTTGAAAGCGTGTCTACATTCTTATAATGTGTACCAACTTATTATGAGTTTTCTATGAGATATTACTGTCATTTTTCCTGTCATATATGTACTGTTATAATCTGGATTTGGACTGTACCTTTCTGAGCTCGTCACTTCTTTTAGCCCGAGGTTAGCCCTTTTACTTATTGCGTACATTGGGTCTGTTATACTCATGCTGCACTTTGCACTTCGTGTGCAGATCTAGGTACTTCTGGACACGTCGTTTGCTAGCTGTGGAGCTTATCTGCTTGGAGACTATTGAGGTAGCTGCCTTGGCGTAAACCTTGACTCACCTTCTTTTCAGTTTATTTGCACTGTTCTATCCTTCTAGACAATTGTTTTTTGCAGTTAGACTGTATTGTCATTTAGATGGTCATGTACTCAGTGACACCCGTATTTTGGGGGATTTTGTATTGAGTCGCGGTATTTTCTTATCAGTTATTTATAAGATTTTCACTATTAAGCTTATTTCTTTATGTTTTCAATTTAAAGATGCGTGGTTAATTGTGATTGTCAGCTTGCCTAGCATTACGATAGGCGTCATCACGCCATGTGAGATTTTGGGTCATGACACATATACAAATAATGGCGCAATGATGTTTTTTTTAGAGTTTAATAAGGGAAAAAGAAAAGAAATGACCAATGACATTTGTCTAAGCATCGGTAGGCAGAGCTACTTGATATAAGTAATGGTAAGAGGAGCCAGTATCTGGTAAAATACTAACGTCGCAAACAAGGACCGAATAAGAAAAGAGTTGGTCACCGAAACATGAATTTAGCAATATGTACAGTTCACTCAACATAATATAATGTAGCTTCCTTGGTAGATGATAAATATCACTTGATGGATTTCGTTTTTTTACTATTTAGTTTTTGACAAAGTGCATGTAGTAGTTATAATTAGGTCCATATTCCTAAATATTTTTCACCAAAATTTGAGCTATGGCATTGGCCATTAGAGTGCTTGATCTCTTACGAGTTCTTTCCATAATCAGTTTCTTGGTTCTTTTACATTTTTTGCAGAAAACCGATGCTCAAGTGCTAATTCCTCAAGTTCCAACATTGATGAAATGCAAGTTTGACAAAATATATCAGTTGGGTGACTCACTTTCTGATACTGGCAACTTCATTAGAGAGAGCCTCGTTGGAGCTTTTTCTCCCTTTGCAAAACTTCCTTATGGTGAAAACTTTTTCCAGAACGAATCAACTGGACGATGTTCTGATGGTTTGCTCATGATCGATTTCATAGGTATGCATAAGGGTATCAAATGGGCGGGTTAGGTTGATTTTGGGTGGATCAAAATGGACTGAGTCAATAGATGAACGAATCATTGACCAGCCTAAAAGTTACTTAGACTGAGATGGACGGATCAAGAAGGACTAAAATTTGACATTAATTTTTTGAAGTTGTGTACCGTAGTACACAACGTCAATACTCTCTAGGATTTTCCATTTTCTTGAAAAGTTAACTGGCCATTATAGACCCTTGAATTTGGGATTAATTCATGCGCTGAACTTTACCCATTGTATTAGTAAAGTCACAACAAAGTGAAAGCTCACTATTTTCTTGATATTTTGTTAGCTGTCCTAATAATTACATTTAGTTATTTAATGTCAATGACTATATGTCTCACTTTTGAATGGATATTTGAAGCTATCTTATTATACAGCATTGGAATGTGGTCTTCCTTTACTAAATCCCTACAAGGATCAGAATGGAAATTTTACACATGGTGCAAATTTTGCAGTAGCAGGAGCTACTGCTTTGCCAGCTGAAATCATGGCAGAGAAGAAGATTTCTAATTCACTCACCAATAGTTCATTAAATGTGCAACTTGATTGGATGTCTTCTCATTTCAAATCCGCTTGCTCTACTGGTAATTATATTTCGAAAATTACCAGAATAGTGTTTTTTTTGTTTTTACTTATTTATTTTCCTTTGTCTTTGCTAGAATGCTCAGAAGACCTAAAGAAGGCACTTTTCCTGGTTGGAGAAATAGGAGGAAATGAGTTTAATTATGGTTTATTGCAAGGTAAACCAATGGAGGAGCTTAGAGCTATGGTCCCTGAAGTTGTTCAGACCATTATCAATGCTGTTAAAGTATGTTTTCCATTTTCTCTGTTTTTAGTATGTAAAACTCACGGAAGATGTTTGGTTGCCTTCACAAAACATTCCCGAGTGTTAATATTTACGTATACTCATCAATATTTGCATCAAATCAATAAAATATATGATTTATGTATTTCACATAACACTTAACAGTAGTTAATCCATATGTATATTATTCATCTCAATTTGTGACTGATGTTTCTTTTAGAGTTAAATTAACTTGACTTATACCCATATCGGGTACAAGTTATTTAATTTTTGCCACTGGTATATCTAACTCACTGAAAATGTTGGCTTTCACGAGTATCATTAGTATTAATAGAAAGACATTTTAGTTGCCTTTGATTAGAAACATTTTGCTAATTAATTCATTACCTCTTTCAGACTATCATTGGGTTTGGAGCTGTTCGAATTGTCATTCCTGGAAATTTCCCAATTGGTTGTATACCAAATTTGCTAACAACGTTTTTGACCAATAATTCAACTGCGTATGATTATAACCATTGCTTGAAAGATCTAAATCACTTGGCAATTCTCTACAATGATCATTTACAACAAGTTATTCAAGAGCTGAAGAAAGGACATCCAAATATTGCATTGGTTTATGGTGATTACTACAATGCCTATCTCTGGCTTCTAAAAAATGCCGCAAGTCTTGGTGAGTGCTCAAAATAACATTCTTTCTACTTTTAACCTTAGTTTATTTTCTTTAACAAGAATTTGTCCGCTTAAAAGTTTTCTACTTTTAACAAATTGATTTCTTTTCCACCCATTAATTTTTCGTCTCGAGCAGGGGCGGAGCTAGCTTTTCGAATATGGGTTTGCTTGAACCTAGTAACTTTGGTTCAAACTCTATATTTATCTTTAAAAATCCATTGAATATATAAAAATTATTAAATTAGAACACAATAACTTAAAATGACTAGAATCCCAAACCCATAAACTTCAAATTCTTGCTCCGCCTCTCATCCTGAGCACCCCTCTTGAAATGATCAATTTGCGCTTTATAAAAATAATTAAACTTCGTAAAATGCAATAACATTTGAGAAAGTAACACCAAAGTAATCAAGAAACTAAAGCAATAGCGGTTGTCGGAGCCAAATATTCTAACAAAAGAACTAGAAAAATGTAAGAATACGACGCATGAGATTTAAACCTGTGTTATAGACTTCCCTTATATCAAGGGGTTCAACAAGTTATATATTGTATGGTATAATTTGTTGTCTTTCCTTCAAGAGATAGAAAAATCAAATATAGTAAGAAAATAAGGACAAACACCTAATATAAACTCCTCAATACGTGTAAATCCACTCCAGAAGAATATCTCATGCAATTACATATAGTTTGATTGAAATGTGCAGGTTTTGACAAGAACTCTTTACTGAAAGCTTGTTGTGGAATAGGAGAAAAATATAATTACGACAAAAGTAGAATATGTGGAGCACCAGGACTGCAAATTTGTACCGACCCTAGTACTTACATCAGTTGGGACGGAATTCATTTGACACAACAAGCCTACAAGTGGTTGGCAAGATGGCTAATCGATGACATGCTACCAAAATTGAAATGCCAAGCTTAATTTAGGCTTCCTTTTCTTTTTCTTGGCAAAGTGCATCAACAGATCTATTAAAAATTTAAAATAGCCCTCTCATTTCTTTCTGTGTATATAGAGCAATGCGGAGCGAAGCAATTGTCAAAAATTAGAATGTATTGAATCCATATCCATTTACTAGAAAAAGGATTTAGGATTTTTCTTCCAAGGTCAATTGCTCAGTTTTTCACATAAAGTTTCTTTTTTTATTTTTTTTTCCGTTTTAGTTTTAGTGGTTAAAAGTTAAAACGTTAACTTTGAAAACCTCAAAGAAGAGAAGTAATATTTGTTTACCTTTCTTTATTTCTTTTTATTATTTTCCGATCTGTAGTTAACTGGAGAAATAATTGCTTCAATTTTCTTATGCACTTCACAACATTCTGTTCTTGTCTCACATCGATATTAAATTTTCAATCAATTAGAGCGTTTAAAAAATATTATAACATGGGAAAAAGGATGGAGTGCTTTTTTTCCTTTTCTTTCTTTTTCCATTCGATATTTGGTACTATCTGTTTTTTGGATCCGACTAATTGAAAATCGTGACGAGAAATCTCACTTTGGGATAAAATCCTACCTTTCAAAGATGACTCCACTCCTAGATTCGAACTAGAGGCCTTTGGATAACCCGAACAATGAAAAAGATGTAGGGTTTAGGCTAATCAATCTTATTTCAATTATACGGTTTTGTTCAAAACTAAAAAATATAATGAAGATAAATGAATACTTACAGCTTAAATAATCTTTATCAGTAGATGGAATGTTCAATATCGACGTGATGGCGTCAGGCGTGTGACGTTGTGTCTTGTGTGATGTGAAGTCTACATACCTAAAAACAGCATTATGCCATTATCAATAACTTCTTTTTATATTGAAAAAACAAAAAACAAGAATTCGGGAACATTGTGTTATGAAGGCTGGGGATAATGAGCTAATTGATGTCGTGGAAGCCATATCCGACGATATTTTAGTATTGTAATGATTCATAGCACCAATTAACACCAGGAAAAAAATAAAATTAGAAGAGTTGACTTTTTGAACGTGTGCCATGCAATGCTTTTAAAATGTTATATAGGGGTCGTTTGGTAGGAGGTATTAGAAAAAATAATGCAAGCATTAACTCTATGCATTACTAATACCTTATTTGGTACCTTTTTTCAACTTGTGTATAACTAATACAAGTATTAGTTATACATCATACTTATTATCCTATGCATAAGTAATGCATAGAAAACCATGAGATTAGTAATACCAAGGCTTTAATGCATGCATTAGCATGGTTAAAGACAAAATTGTCCTTAAAATCCCTTAAAGCTAGAGAATATGGAGCGCATTTTTGTAAGCAATTATTTTTTTTTAAAATTATGCAATGCATTATAATTTTAATACACCACACCAAACAATAGATAAGAAATAATATTTGCATAATTAATGCTTGCATTACTAATACATGCATTACTAATACACAATATTCCGCACTATTCTTATACATCCTACCAAACGACCCCATAGCGTGATAAAATTCAAGGAAATCTAGACAACTTGCCTTTTGTCACATCCCGTACTTTTATGTGTTTGATTTGTCGTAAGTTTGTTTGATTCAAAAGATACAAAACTTTTTTGAACAAATCAATCAAAGATGAATGGGTAAATCTTAGTCAAACATAATTAATTCCGGATCAAAAAGTTAACAATAATGATTACATATGAGACGAAGACGACATGATAGATCTTATTTAGATTCAGCATTGTCTTTCTCGTCAATTGATGAAGAAGTAAATTTACATGTATTCCTCGAGGTCATTTCCTCGTTTTCTTGAAGATATAAGGAAGGAGCTTTTTTGTCTTTCCTTTTCTTGAGAGAATGCAGAAGCCCCCATTATTCAGAACTTTCTTTGGCTATATATAGAGGCCCTTTTACCCTTTGCTTGATTCGACGCTTTCTCGTCACTAATGTGTCCTGGTCGTGATTTGAGGCGTTAGTCATTTCGATTCGTCGATTGGCACAGAGGAGAATGGGGTGGACTCTGTTGACTCTCACTGCCCGTTACTGAGGCGGGGTGTCGGACAACTTGGTCGTGGTGGTCAGATTTTAACCAATACAAAGTTAATGGACATAAGTTCAAGGACAAAATTATTTTTAAGGTTATAAGTGATTATGCTAAGTTTAAAAAGTGTTGAGGAAGTGTCATAAGGATTAGAGGTCAACAAATTAAAGAGAATAAGTTTCATCAATATAAATACCCCGTGCTTTGGGGCTATAGCTTGAGTCGCTCGACGTATGTAAGTAGACCCGAATCATGAAGAATTTTGGTCATATTCAAGTATGCAAATAAAGAGTACAGTATATAGAAAGATGAAGTCCCGAAATGATGTAGGACTTAAAAGTGTGATGATGGTGATTGGGAATAATACTTGGTGTGTATAAAGAGGCTATGGACTAGAATTATAAAACACGATAGTGATAATGAGTTTATGATGTGTGTATAAGATAATTATTATTTAAGTGAATTGAGATCAAGAAATTAATTACGTGTATAATTGGCTATATGGAAAATTATATTGGAAGACAAATTAAATTGAATTATTGAATAAATGGTGTAGTGGATAACATTCCACATGTCACATGGCGACATCAATATTGGTGACTAATCTACACTCATAAGTGGTTGTGGCACGATTAAACTCAATGTCTCAAGAAAGAAGCTAAGGAGGACGTGTGTAAATGGAAAAAGATTACAATTATGTCTCTTGTTTCACTTGATTTGAGAATGAAATTGAAGAATAAATAGGTTCAACATAGTGTAGCAGCAAGGAACGCTAATTTGAGATGATTTTCAGTAACATGAGCTCCAAATTTCATGAAAGCAAAGTATAATCCTTCTCAAGGACATCATACAAATTTTTTCCTACTATAATTTCGTCGTTACGTGTTTTCTCGATTGACGTGTGTTGGAAGGATTGTCAGGAAAATCGGCTCAGGTATGTTAAGGCTAACCCTTTCTTCTTTTGGCATAATTCAAGCAACGAAACATAAACATAATGTTATTCCATAAATGGTTCTACTCTTAGTAGTTAAGGATGTCTATGTTATTCCTTTTTATAAAATGATATTCAAAGCATGTCTAAGTATGTTCCTAAGTCTCTATTGAGGCAGTCAATAAATATGTTAATGTTCATAATGTAGTGTTATATGTATCTTCATTTATCACCGAGCTACGACTTGTTGGGCAATCATGCATCTTCATTTACCATCGAGTTACGGCCGGTTGGGCAGTCATGCATCTTCATTTACCACCGAGCTATGACCGGTTGGGCAGTCATACATCTTCATTTACCATCGAGCTACGGACAATCGGACAATCATGCATTTACCACCAAGCTATGGTCGGTCGGGTTGTCATGTATTTACCACTATGCTACGGCCTGTCGGGTAGCCATGCATTTACCACCATGCTACGACCGATCGGGCAGTCATGCATTTAGCATCGTGCTACGACTGATCGGGCAATTACCACTGATAAGTTGGGTAGTTAACATCATGATAATGATGTAGTCAGGACTATACCGTTATATATATATATAGACACACACACACATATACACATAAGATTGAACTTATTATACATGTTATGGCCCTTAGCGGCATGTCAGATTACGGGTTTACTCTTGTCACTCTCAAATAGTATCTTATTGATATGATTCATTCATGCCTTGCATACTATGTATATTCTTTGTACTGGTATCCCTTTGCCAGGAGATACTGTGTTTCACGCTATGCAGGTGTAGATAGACAAGGTGAGGACCCTTCACTCTAGGCTGCTTCCGAATATCCGCTTTTGGTTGGTATAATCCACTTATTCTTGGAGTATTGCCGAGTTAGGGTTTCGAATATCTTATTTTGGTTTCCTGTCCCGACTTAACAACTATGTTCATATTTCCATAGAGGCTTTGTAGATAGTATCATGTGTATAGTTTTAGTTATGACATATTAGGCTATGATGATGACCTTGCCGGTCCCCATGTATTCGTGTAAATTATTTATGAATTGGTTATGCGAGTTAAGTTCTAATGCCGTTACTTTTATATATATGTATATCGATGTGGCCAATAATGGCCCATGATGATTCTTACAAGAAAGAGGGATAAGATATGTGGCGCTCTATTGAGTAAGGACCGGGTGCCAGTCGTGGCCCTCCAGCTTGGACCGGAACACCTTTACAGCTTGTTTGGATGCTTGTTACCTATAGTTTTATAATATATTGTATTGTGTTGTTGTAACGACCTAGTCGATTGTTTTGAGTATTATAGACTCGTTCCCCCATTTATTACTTATTCTGTGATCATTTGTTGTTATGTGAGTCGCCGGGGTGGTCGGTTTGGTTTCGGAGATGTTTCAGAATGAGTTGAGACACTTAGTCCCCGAGGTTGGAAGCCTAAGTTGAAAGAGTTGACCAGATGTTGACATATGTGGAAACAACTCCAGAATGGAGTTTTGAAGGTTTTGGTAGCTTCGTATAATGATTTTGGACTTAGGAGTATGTCCGGATATTGATTTAGAAGTCCGTAGATGATTTTGGCTCAAATTGGCGAAAGTTAGGAAAGTTGAAGTTTGGAGAATTGAGAAGTTTGATCGAGAGTTGATTTTGTGGTTATTGGGCTCTAATTTTGGTTCCAGAAGTTGGAATAGTTTCGTTGTGTCATTTATGACTTCTGTGCAAAATTTGAGGTCAATCGGAGTTGATTTGATATGTTTCGGCATCGATTGTCATGAGCGGCTCAAGCACATACGGGGCCTAAAGCCAAAGTTTAATATGAGGCCTAAATTTCTAAAAGAAATTTATAAAATATGTTTTTATTTGAAATCGATTTTGTCTAATAATTCTTGCTCAGTTGATAATATAGCCAACTTATTTAATCTTTCTCGAGATATTATTGATCTTGGATAAGATTTTACAAAGCAATAGAAGTATAGAACTATTGGAAGCTTTAAAGTATTGCTGAACACTTGAACTAGTGAAATCTTGGAGAAAGAAGGTGAGTAATGAAATCTTGGAGAAAGAAGTGAGTAAGAATATCAAAGAGAAACACAAAACATATGTAGGATTTTCTAAAATATGAAGAGATTGGAAAAAAATGATTGACTTGGACAAATTAAATAAGAGAGA